CGTGCGTGCTTTCACATGGAGCAGCATTTACTACACAGAGCCGTTGTTCACTGACAAGCTATGCAAAACCATGATCATATATGCGCATTAAATATTGCATGCGATTTATCATGCAGCCCTAATGCAAATGAATTAAACCATTTTCCTTTAATAATGTAAGATCATTAACAGTTTAATAATGAGAACGACCCAGCTAGATCTTTATTTTAATATTAGCCCAATTTCGCCTGACACAAACCTAAACCTGCATCCTGTTGGTTTATTGAAGTGACCGATTCTTACTCCGACTCACTTTTCTTTTTTGATACAATACATTTTAAAAATTTATTTTTTATCTAATGCTGCGGAAGGAGAAGCGATACACTCATTGAAACGTGAGAGGAGAATATTATGGAAGCCCATTTCCATCACAGAATAAGAAAAAAAGTAAGAAAGAAAAAAAACTGTTACAACCTAAGTTTATATCTTGCAATAAGAAATCATTTTGTTTTTGAGGTAACATCCTGCAATTCTGACATTTTTCCTCAGAATTGCGAGTTTATAACACAATTCTGAATTTATCGCAAAAAAATTATATATACTGTATATATATTTTGCAATTTTGATTTAAAATATTACAATTGTAACTTTTTTTTTCTCAGAATTCTGAGTTTTCATCTCTTTTTGTACAGCCTGTAACCACTGTAATGTGCATTTCCATAAGCACCACTTAGGCTACTGTCAGAGAGTGAATTTGTCTTTTCACTCAGCCCGTCTGCTGTTTTTGTTAAGAAGCAAAACGAAACAAATGTGCATTCTAAAAATCTGTTTAAATCATTGTTTTACGGTAATTTTAAGATTGGATTTGTTTCAAAATTACGTGTTTACTTAAACAACACATAGGATAGTTTCATGGAATGGGTTTACATGATTTAGCAGCCTCACATCACCAAGTATAATGCCAAGTGTCAGTTGGAGTGGTGTAAAGCATGCTGCCACTGGACTCTGGAGCAGTCAAAACCTGTTCTGTGGAGTGAGGAACCACGATTCTCTGTTTGATGGGTGAGTCTGGGAACATTACCTGCCTGACTGCACTGTGTCAACTATAAAGTTTGATGGAGGAGGGATAATGGTATGGGGCTGTTTTTGAGGGGTTGGGCTAGGCCACTTACTCCCAGTGAAGAGAAACCTTAATGTTAATATCCAGACATTTTGGACAATGTTATGCTTCCAACTTTGTAGAAACATTTTGGGTAAATCCTTTATCTATTTCAGCATGACTGTACCCCCGAGATGGATGTGTCAAAAATGTGTAAAACATTTTTGGACTGCTTTTACATCCAAAGTTTAAAAAAAATAAATAATTTCATTTATAACAGTTTTTATATAAACATAAAACAAATAACAGTCTCACAAAATGTATACAAAAAATACTATACACAAAAAAAAAAAAAAAAAAGAGGCCCCCCCCCATCTACCCCCCACAAACAGGCACCAGATACAATGAAAAATATACACCTTAAACAAAGACATACGTAATCAAACATAAACAAAACATTAAAGATGGAGTGAAGGAATAAAACAGTGAAGCTATCCATTCAACTCTTAAAAATAGACCTAAGGAAGGGCCCCCAGATTTTATCAAATTTTTTAGAAACATAGATCTTGGAAAAGCGAATCCTTTTCGAGTTTGAGGGCGGCAACCATCTCCGCCAACCATTGATGAAAACTGGGCGGTAAAGAGGACTTCCAATCCATCAAAATCACCCTTTTAGCTACCACCATACCAAACATAAGAGTCAATTGCTGAGAATGTGTTAATGCTAATGTAGGGTCAGAACATTCAAGCAAAGCTAATTCAAGATCTGGACTGATATCTTCTCCAAAAACATTTATACCACCGAAAAATATTCTTCCAAAACTCAGAAATCTCAGGACAAAACCAAAAAGAATGACCATGCATGCCATCTGAGCTCTTACATCTATCACATAATGGTGAAATTGAAGGGTAAATTTTATTGAGTTTAGTTTTGGTATCGTATAACCTATGCAAAACTTTAAACTGTATAAGTTGTAATCTAGCATTAATAGAGCAGGTATGAATTCATTTCAGTCCCTCTTTCCAAATCTCGTTTGAGATATTAATTCAATTCCATTAGAATTTTAAAACAAATGAAGACCGCGTTGAATATTACGTGTCCTTCTGTGCACCTGCCCATTTTAAATAATCACATTTTTTTGCCCGGACAGTCGGATAAGGTATTTTCACTGTGGAGAGGCAAAGGACTAACCACGGTCAAGGACTTTTATATAGATGGAAAATTTGCTACTTTTGAACACTTGTATAAACCTTTGATCTTCCCCAATCACATTTTTTGACAATAATGCTACTTTGAGGTGATCTGAAGAAACTGCAAAATGAGAAACAAACAAAGAAACAAACAGTGTCACCAAATGTTTATCCATAGGAGGTTGACCCAAAAGATCATACATATCATGATCCTGAGGCAAATCCTGAAACACTCCAGCATCGCTATTATTAGTAGTAATAGTGCCAGTCATACAACATCTTCAAAAACATAGCAAACACAAAATCAGTAGCAACCACAGCAAGAATAAACATTATCTGGTGGAACAAAAAACATAAAGAAGAACTCACAAACTCCCCACAGCTGCCCCATGAACCGAAGCAGCATGTATTCCCCATCGTCTCGGCGACAAAAAGAGTGCAAGACTAACTTAGCTTACCTTAGCCAAAAAAAAGAGCAGAAATAATGAAAAACACACAAGGAGTAGAAAAAAACAACAACTTCTGTTCTCCACCGCACAAATAGTCAGTAATCTGAATCGCGTACCACAGTGAGAATTAACAGAATGTTCCAAAAATAGTCCACTTCTATTAGTCAAGGTCCATACTCGGACCAAGCTGAGTATGTAGAGGCTACGCTGAGTCATTCAACAAGTTATCCAGAAACTTCTTGGCCTCTACCAGCGATTCGAAAGAAAGCTCACAACCATTGTAATGCACCATCAATTTTGCTGGAAAACGCAGGGACCATTTCAACCCAACCTCCCGCAGAGCTTTCGTGATCAAACTAAACCTCCGGTGCATAATCAGGGAAGATATGAATTTCCTTTATATTCCAGATGAAACTTATCCCGGCTCAGACGGAGGATTAAGTCTTATCCTGATCATTGTGGATCCGTGCGATAATGGTGCGAGGTCTCTGGCCTTCAGACGGCTTGGGTAACAGCGCCCGATGAGCTCGGTCAATCTTCAAAGGTTTGGGGAAGTTGTCTTGGCTGAAAAGTTTGGTAATCAAGTCAGAAATGAACAACGAAGGGCGCCCCCGCTCGTCACCTTCGCTTATTCCCACAAATTTGAGATTCAGCCTTCGAGAGCGTCCTTCCAAGTCATTCAGTTTAGCCCAGAGAGATTTGTTTTCTGCACACAAGTCTTCACACACCTTTTCAACCTCTCCAAGGCGTAGATCAGTACCGTTCAGGGCACCTTCTATCTCCACCATTTTTTGTTTAATGCCGGCCTGTTCTGACTGCAGGTTAACCAGCGTAGCATCCAACGTATCCAAGCCAGCACTTAATGCTGTCATCTTGTCCTCTATGAGCTTTTTCAAATTATCCCCTTGGGCACCCATTGCGGCAAGTAATGCATTCACATTTCCCTGTGAGATAGAATCACCTGGATTGGCATCCTCCTTAGTTGCAACAGTTTTTGAAGATTTCTTAGACGCCATTTTTCTGACAGAACGAGTCAGCGAAATAACGAAAATCGCCCTCAGTGCACTTAAATCTCACTAAATACTCAAACCAACTGATTAAAGTTAACTCTCAATAAGTTATTATCGACTGTGAAGTGGATTGAAGGTACTTTAATTACAAAAATATTCTAAATGTAATGTCAGCGGAGAGGAGACTCTCCGAGTCAGCACACTCAAAAGAGTTGCCAGTAATCGGGTTTATTGGCATGACTTTGAAGGCTGATTTAATATCGATTTTGGCTAACCATGCTCCACAACCGGCAGATTTAATTAGCTGAATTCAGCCTTCGCCGGGAGTTTGATTGACAGGTGATCTGACCAATTATAATGCTGTATCTGCCATTTTGTCAGACAAAGAAATCAGACAGGAGAGTATATTAACGTTTGCAGACTTGAACTTGAGAAATGGTGTGCATTGACGTCTTTCCGTGGTTGAAACAAGATACCTTCTGATGTTCATTCATGTTTATTTTGTGCTATAACACGTAAAGAGGAAGAGATGATCAGTTAACGTGCTGCTTGAACTGAGGCACACAGTGATCTGTCACGCCACATTAAACAACCACAAAATGGTATTTATTGTTTACATTTCTTAAAAAAATAACAAAATGTGATTTATTTTTTTTTTTTTTAGATCTTCATTTATTTTTTGCCGAAGATTTGTACATGGGGCAGACGGGGTGGGCATGAGCACCATCAAAAAAATTATAAACATGCAAAAAAATTACATCTTTGCCTGAAACAATGAAATTCATTGAAATGATTACAAACTTGGCAAATTGGAATGGATGAAAAACATCCCTTTTGATTTACAGAGATTGGGCGTACGTATGATGGGTAGGTAATCATTCAGTTCCTTGCATCTATTTGGGAAGACTGAACAGATTACATCTGTATATTTTCCGAAGGCTAAAACTAATTCTGCAAGGGAAATAATGCGATTGGAGCTAGACGCTGAATCTTTGAGTGTAAGGGAAATTGTGTCACAGTCCATGGATCAATGGCAGTCTTTTTGAGGGATGGGAGATAGAAGAGAATTTGAGTGTGAAGCGGGTTAGAGATGGATGGAAAGAAACCAAGACTGGTGTGATATGGCAAATCTACAGTGGGTAGAAGGTGTGGCTCGACGGTGGACCAACAGTGTGTCCAAAGGCAGAAGTGGATGCTTGAGAGACGTGGGTTTGTTGGGCTGAGTTGGACTGTGAAGACAGAGGACTTAGGGCTGCAGCCACGAGACTTACACTAGTAGTAAGGGGGGTAGGGATGATGGCAGCGGAGACAGGCAGCAGGGGGAATGGCAGCTATAGGGGAGACGCTGGAAGAGCTCGAGGCTGACGCTGCCTCCTGGCTGAAGGAGGCACACCTAGCTCTCTTGGATGGGTGACTGGAGGCCCCTTGAAGGGGAACGGAAGGAGCAGTGGATGGAATTGGACTAGATTGTGAATTGAGGTAAAGACCATACAGATGGTCTGTCTTTAAGAAAAATGAATGTTTGTGGTCTAACCTTCGTTTAGAACTTCATTGATTGAAAGTATCTTATACTCAGAATAATCAATATCTACATTAAATATATTGCAACCAATATTATAATACAGGTTTAAATTATCAACACAGTTTAAACCCAATAATTACTTGAAATTGAAGTTAGATGAAATAGTAGTCAGAATTAAAGTAGATGATGTAGTAGATGAAAAACATACATGCACAATACTTTTGCCCACACCACTGAATTTGGTCTTTGGACCAGTGGGTGGTCCTTAGAATCATCTGTAATATCCAACAGGCGTTGTTGCCAGCACTGTATGTATATGTATTATATGTGCATCTCATGTCAACAAAAACTGCTATTTACAAAAACAATCAAACTGAACTGTATACTCTAAGAAAAGTGTGTTAATAAAAAGGAATTTTCCACATTGATTTTTTACAGGAGTTTTACCCATATTTTGAATTACGCATTGCATTGTGTAGTGATTTAGGGTTGAAGGAAATGTCTGTAAACTTAACAGAAAATACTGTTAATTTTCTGCCAGGACATTATCCTTATTTATATATATATATTCTACAGTTTTTTTCTTACAGTGCAGAGATCTGCTGTATCACTGTAACTGTAAACATATTTTGGACCTAGTTGTCCTTCTCTTTTTTAAAGCTCATTTTGGTGCAGTAGCTCAACTGGTTATTTATACATAATGCTAAAATGTAACTGTTCCCCCATGCATCATTTCCAGTGTAAGTGTGCGAGCACAGATCTTCTCCAGACTCACTGTTCTGGATGATGTCCTGCATCTTCTTCCAGACTCTGAAGGGCAGGTTGCCCAAGTAACGCGGCACATGAATCAAAGCTCCAGAAGGAGTCTGTGGATCCGGCTGTGAGATCTGGACTCTGGAAGAACATTCAGGATCAGAACTGCAGTGGCTTTGGATCAGAAGCAGAGAGAGCAGAGACAGCAGCAGATCACTCACCTTTCCATTGAGACTGGAAACTCCTGCAGAACAAACACACCATTGATCATCAACAACTCAATCAATCAATCAATCAATCAATCAATCAATCAATGATCTGAAATCAGACCTTCAGAAAGCAGACGTCACTGGCTTTCATCATCTCCTCCATGTCTTTGATTGACTGTGAAAGAGCTGAGATGTCTCTGTTCAGCTTCTCAATCATCTGCTTCTTCTGCTCCTCTTCCTCCCTCAGTGCAGTGATTGTAGCTTCTTCTTCATCTCTGAGAAACTGATGAAGCTTCTCAAACTGCTGTTTAATCTGACGCTCTGTGTGATCAGCTTGAGACTGAAATCAAACCACATTCACTTCAATCGTCTGAAGAAAAACACATCACATTATCTACAGCAACAGCCAACTTTCTGGACAGACCGAATTTATATTAATTGAATGTCTTTACAAATCATGAAGTTGTTTGGTTTCCTCACCTTAATGTGTTTAACTGTTTTCTCAAACTCTTTTACAATATTGTTTTTGTCTTTAACTTTGGCTTGTAAGGACTTTAGTGCTGTACTGAGATTCTCCTGAAATTTAAAAGGAAAATCTATAAGACGTTAGAGATTTTTGTAGTATGTTCATGAATGTGATATCATATATTTGTGTGACAAATATCACAGACGTATGTCTTTATGGCAAAATCCTCAAATTATTCAGAAATAAATCTGTCCTACCTTGTATGATGGAACAACTTCACCGATGGGTCTGAATGTGTGATTGACGTGTTTCTGTGAATCTCTGCACACTAAACACACCGACTGTTTGTCCTCCAGACAGAAGAGTTTGAGTTTCTCGCTGTGTAACCTGCAGAGCTCCTCAGACTCTGATGAATGCCTCTCTTTTCTCTTCTTCAGGAGCGACTCACACAAGTTTTTTAACACAAGATTACATGGAGGATCATCTCTTGAGGATCTTCTCCTGCAGACAGGACATTCCTGAGTTTTTGTGGTTCTCCAGAACTGTTGAAGACACTCTTTACAGACACTGTGACTACATGACAAAAGAACAGGAGCCTTGAAGATTTCACAGCATACAGGACAAGAAAGTTCTTCCACAGAGAGTGAATCCATTTTCGCTGTTTGAGCTCCAGCAATCTAAACTTTACTTTCACTTTCTGATTAATGGTTTTAAAAAATGAATAACCATGAGAATCATAAAGATCTGCTGTCTGTTCAGAAACAAACTTAGCAAAAATCCACCCCGAAAGTACTTTTCTTCATTCTTCGCTGAACACTGGTTCGTTGTTGATCTTGCCAAGAAAATGAGAACAGAGTCAATATGACAGAAAGGAGAAACAAGTCAGTTTCTTCCTGGTAAGTGCTGTAAGAGGGTGGAGTTTCTGATCACCTTTGGGTGTGATTAAAACAGGTCAGATGGCATTATTTCTTCAGATTAAATTTGAACAAAATGCATTCAAAATTAACTTGCATTGACATTCTCTCAAATATAATGCTAGAAAACCTCAGATAAGACAGTAAATGACAATGAGAAAGCACAAATAATGATAATAAGAAGTCTTAAGACACTTTATTTGTGAGAGTTTTATTTACTGTGCTTTATTGGTGTGTCAAATTCACTATGCTAATAAAGTTATTAAAGCAACTGATTGATTTGATCATGCATGCAGTTTGATCTGCATTAGAAGTCTGATTGTTGGGGTCTTTTACAGTTTCTAATTACATAATTACTCAACCAACTAATACAATGAAGCATCAGCCTGTATACAGTAAGACTTCTTTGCAAATGGAAATACTCAAAGATTGCATGCTAAAACAGAAGACGCCATAGATTTTAACTATGCCATGTACTGTATGCATGTAAAAAAAAACTCCCTGAAAACAGCATAGCAACTGCAACACCAGCATGGCTAAAAGCTTAAAGTAAAATCTGACATGGTGCTGAAAAACAATTCAAACATATTTAAGTTTATAAGTCTCATATGAAGGTTCTAGTTTGCTAAGGGTGGAGCAATTTAGTGTGGACAGATTTTAACTGCTGTTGTACAGATCCACATTACTGGAGCTCAAATCTCGACTGTCTTTCAGACGTCAGCTTCTCAGACTCTGAATGGAAGAACAAAACAAAGAGAGAGACACAAAACAACAAACGAATGTAAGCTGAAAGTGTGAGAGGAAACAACAGACCATCATCTGAAGATATATCAGTCAGATCTTTGAGAGAGTTAAAGTCAACATTAATACAAATACAATCTATTTACTGTCTTAATTCATCTTGCTAGTCTGAGTATGATAGATTCATCAATGATGTTATTCTACAGAAATAGATGTTTGTCTTCATAATTTTTCATTATAATGTAATAACTTAAAACTGTAAGCACTGATTTGTTTACTTATGAAAAAACAATAAGCTACACAAGGCAGTGCATTAAAGTGGTTTTATAATCATTTCCAGTAAGTTTACATCTTTTACATTAAAGATTGTGTATTAGTTACCTGTCACTCGTCTTGTTCAGTGAGGTGTCATGCTTTCATTCTCTAGAAAATAAAGATAGGCTACAATGAAAATGACAACTAAAATTAAAACAAAAAAAGATTTTAAAAAATGTCTAAAGGACAATCTTCATTCTGAGTTTTCATGTATGTCTGTGGTGATTTGTGTGTCATGACTCTAACGTGTGTGTGAGTAATTTACTAAAACTTACAAACCCTCCACTGACACCCTCAAACAGAGAAATAATGGCTAATAAAATCTTTCTAATTACTACAAATACTAAATGTTTTCTTTTAGGGATTGGGTCAGTCTATAGTCATTATCATAAAGTATTTGCCATTATCACAAGCTGAGATTGACTAATTACACTAAGAGATGAGTGCACTAAGAGTGCAGCCCAAAATAAATAATATTATAAAACATTTGAAAGCAAAAACTATTTAACATGGAGTGTTTGTCCTAACCAGCAGCGACATTACATTTTGTCAGTCGCGTAAGGTGTTTTATCATGTAGCCTCTCCCAGCTTGTGACTGGAATTCTGTCCCGTTACACCAGATCAGGATTTGCTGTAATAGGGAAATTTTACAAAGTTTTGGCCATAATGTTCAACACTGTGCATCACACTGTGTTTGTGTATGCTTGTACTTGGTGTTGTGCGTCTCTGGGGGTTTGCAGTCCTGTAGTTCTTCCTCTGCATTTCACTGCTTTTGAGCAACTCATCTTTGAGCCGCGCAAATGGGCCTTTGTAATTCAGTGCTCCGCTGCCATCCTGCACAAACACACACAGACTCAATACACATCCCACACACTCACATTAAAAAAAGTGACACAATCAAACACACTTTAGTTTGGCCAACAGTTTCTGGTTCCCACTGCCTTCCATAGCATTTTCGTTTTCTATACTATGGAGGTGGTGTCCATTAACTGTTTGGTTACCAACATTCTTTCAAATATCTTCTTTTGTGCTCAACAGAAGAAGGAAATAGAGGTTTGGGAGAACTTTTGAGTGAGCAAATGATGATAACATTTATTTTTGGGCGAAGTATCCCTTTAAAAGGTGTAAACCTAGCCTTTTTTGTTTATTTAAATTATAGGCCTAATTTCTCATTTCTTTTTCTTTTGATTTTGGGATGAAAACTTATCTTGGTGTATTCTTGTCAGATTCTGACAAGTGAAAACACACAAATGATGATCAAAACACAAACAAAAAAACTAGGGCTGTCAACGTTAACGCGTTAACGCATGCGATTAATTTTACAATCCTTAACGCAGTAAAATAATTTAACGCAATTAACGCAAATTTACTGAGGCACAATTTCTATTCTAACCCTTTAACCCAATTTTGCTTCTCTGCTTGTGATCAGATCATTTTAAGCCGCTAAACTCCGGGAAAGTTTTCAGTCCAATGATCCAGTAAGCGAATGCATTCAATCAATCTGTCCAAAACAGCGCTAATATTAAGGAAACCCTGCTCATTACATCAGAGATTGCAGAGAGAAGAGAGACTTGCGTTGCGTTTTAAGTGTTTCATTCATTCCAGTGTTTCGCTTTAAAACACGAGCTCTGTCATATTCTGTGATTGACTCTGAAGAGCACAAGCCCTCACACGTCGCACTGTGTGAAGTACAGATTGAACGGAATGTCAACACATCCCACCGCTGCATGGCCAGATGTCGCGCTAGTAAAGTTTTGATGGATGAAGACTGCAATCAAGGTAAAGAGGATTGCGGTGGCGTACAGGAGTCCTACAATAAGCACGCATGAGTCCGTTATAATAATGCGTGTATGAGTGCTCTTGACGCACTGATCGCACATTGTATTTATGCACAGGCACAGACATTTCCGTACATTCACGTTGTTTCCACACACATTCACAAGAATGTTTTGATCTGTCATGTGTATGTTGCTGTGTTTAGTTATACTGAATGGATCCGTGTACTATAGTAGATATATGCAGTTTATTGGTTTTTGGCATCTCCATGTGGTCCTGTTCGGTATCGCAACTTGGCTTCTCTAAAATGTAAAAAAGCTCTTTGCTGTTGCACTGTGCAAATAGGCTACTATACAATTCAGATTTTTTTTTAGCATTTTTTTTCTTTCATATGTGCTTATATGCACTCCTTTTGGAGTCTTTATTTGGAAAGACGTCTAAAATTATCTTGAAAAAAGCTTGCAGAAAATACAGATTTTTGAGAATCACCCTTCAATCTTTTGGTTTTCTTTGCTGGATATAGCAAATGATGACAAAATAAACATTTGAAACAAGATAAATGGTCTATGCTTAATTTCATGAAGTGTGTGATTAATCGCGATTAATCACAGAAAAAGGGTGTAATTAATTAGATTAAATGTTTTTATCGATTGACAGCCCTAAAAAAAACCTAAGTTGAGGTTTATTAATGGTGCACTGAATGAGGTCTGGCTTATGAGGTGCAAGAATTTCTTCAAATAATAAGCAGGAGGAAAAACATGAGAGACGTGACAGGCAGACAAATGACAAGTGAGGTCTGTTCTGTACCCGTTTGTGGGATCTTGTGGCACATTCCTCCAGCATGTCTGCTGCCTTCATCTTGCCCTGTCTGCGGTACAGAGTGGCTAGATTCTTCAGTGTTGTATTTATGATCGGACTGCAGACAAAACGCATCCAGTGAGGAAGGATACAAAACCAAGAGAACAACTAATAAAATAAAAAAAATCAAACAAATGTCAAGAGTGCAACAAAAACTTAATTGGCTTAATTCTTGATTTCTTGATTTTGATTTTGTGATGTCGAGGCATTTCGACACATTCATCTTCTTCATGTATTCCATGTCTGGTTAAAAACGCTGTTTGACGATGCAAGGACTATGTGAATATATTCCATCAGGTGGTTTGTGATCATTAATATATGTGTCTGTCTGATTTATGGCACCAAGAACTTACTAAGAATCAAATGCAGGCAGCTTTAAGAACATAATGCTCTCCTGCAGCTTTGTGATGTGTTTGCGATACCTGTTGACTTTACTGGCTTTGTACCCGCCTCCATGTTTTTCATACAGCGTGTTGTCACTGAGTTCCCCCTGAATATCAGCAGACAGACAGTTTGAGTGACAGCAGCTGGGCAGAAACACAAACACTCGTTTCATCCACAACACACACCTTGCTCACCTCCTCTCTTTCCTCAGCGTGCATCCAGATGGGTTTGTTTTCAGCTGGAGATAGACACACAAGTAACATCATTACTCATCATGCTGTGGGACAGTAGGCTCTCTAATACTGCCTCATGATTGGGCCAGATTTCAAAAGGAATGTGACAAGCCAAATATGTCATCTCATAATGTTTGCAGTCATTATGTCTGCAAACATTAATTATTAATTACAAAAAAACAAAAACAAAAAAAATCTAATTAGTTAAAAACTGAAGCTCAGAAATATGCTTTATTGTTTTATTAGATGTGTCTCAGGTTCAGCCCCTGAGCACAAGGGATGTGTGCCTCTGTCCATCTTTGTTACCCTTTAACACTGATCTACTATAGTCTGATTAATACTGTAAGTGCAAAGTAAAATTAAAGTAAATTTAAAGAGAAAAAGAAGAAAAACGTCAAAACTTTCATTTTTATATCTTATTACAGAATTTATAACAAATAAGATGTTTGTTTAATATATAAAAGCTACAGCAGCATCCATTTCAGATCTATCTGAACGCACCACCTCAACATTGTGTGGGCTGCACCCCTGTTTGTACTTTACCTGTTCTATCAAAAAATTAGGAAAATAAAATTGATAGCTCACCGTCCACCAATCCAAACTCCTTCTCATGAGCACTGGTCAGAATCTCTTTGTAAAGAATCTCAGCTTCTTTATATTTGCCTTGTTTGAAAAGGCAGGATGCCTGCAAAGAGACAAGGAATATTTCACTGCTTCATACAATGGAGAGTGAATGGAGTGAATGTGAGCATGGCTGAGGATTTGACAGGTATGAATCTAAGTGTGTGGAGAACAACCAATGGCTGATAAGAGAACATCACATCAACTCCACAGAAACAACACAAGTTTTAGTGGAAATATTAATATATTAATTTCCTCCGTGACAAACTCATTATTTAATGTGGTCTATAGAATCTCACATTGTTTTCCAGCAGATCAAGCGGTTTGACAAACTAACCAGGTTGTTCTTGGTTTCGGCCACATTGGGGTCATCTGGGCCGAGTTTGCATTCATAGATCTTCAGAGCTCTGCGGTAATAACACTCCACCTCCTCATACTTGCCCTGATTCTGACAAACCTGGGCCAGATTATTCAACTGCTTCGCTACATCCGGATGATCATTCCCCAACACCTGAAAGACAGACAGAGAGACAGACAGGTCAATCATGTCCCTTCATTCATGTGGTCTGTGTATAATGACTCTAAACTGTATAACTGTTTGCTAATTTTCTACTTTTGTGTTTCTTGCATCACATTTCATTAGACATGTTAAAATATTTCACACTTAAATCAATAGTCCTGCTCTATGTCAAGGTGTGTGTAGGTTTGTCTGACCCAACCAGACAGAGTTTAGTCACAAATAACAAAAAAACTGTTATGGTACTAAAGTAAAACTGACATGCAGAATTTCACATATGTGACAACAGAACTTTCACTGACATTTTCACGTTGTTTCCACACACATTCACAAGAATGTTTTGATCTGTCATGTGTATGTTGCTGTGTTTAGTTATACTGAATGGATCCGTGTACTATAGTAGATATATGCAGTTTATTGGTTTTTGGCATCTCCATGTGGTCCTGTTCGGTATCGCAACTTGGCTTCTCTAAAATGTAAAAAAGCTCTTTGCTGTTGCACTGTGCAAATAGGCTACTATACAATTCAGATTTTTTTTTAGCATTTTTTTTCTTTCATATGTGCTTATATGCACTCCTTTTGGAGTCTTTATTTGGAAAGACGTCTAAAATTATCTTGAAAAAAGCTTGCAGAAAATACAGATTTTTGAGAATCACCCTTCAATCTTTTGGTTTTCTTTGCTGGATATAGCAAATGATGACAAAATAAACATTTGAAACAAGATAAATGGTCTATGCTTAATTTCATGAAGTGTGTGATTAATCGCGATTAATCACAGAAAAAGGGTGTAATTAATTAGATTAAATGTTTTTATCGATTGACAGCCCTAAAAAAAACCTAAGTTGAGGTTTATTAATGGTGCACTGAATGAGGTCTGGCTTATGAGGTGCAAGAATTTCTTCAAATAATAAGCAGGAGGAAAAACATGAGAGACGTGACAGGCAGACAAATGACAAGTGAGGTCTGTTCTGTACCCGTTTGTGGGATCTTGTGGCACATTCCTCCAGCATGTCTGCTGCCTTCATCTTGCCCTGTCTGCGGTACAGAGTGGCTAGATTCTTCAGTGTTGTATTTATGATCGGACTGCAGACAAAACGCATCCAGTGAGGAAGGATACAAAACCAAGAGAACAACTAATAAAATAAAAAAAATCAAACAAATGTCAAGAGTGCAACAAAAACTTAATTGGCTTAATTCTTGATTTCTTGATTTTGATTTTGTGATGTCGAGGCATTTCGACACATTCATCTTCTTCATGTATTCCATGTCTGGTTAAAAACGCTGTTTGACGATGCAAGGACTATGTGAATATATTCCATCAGGTGGTTTGTGATCATTAATATATGTGTCTGTCTGATTTATGGCACCAAGAACTTACTAAGAATCAAATGCAGGCAGCTTTAAGAACATAATGCTCTCCTGCAGCTTTGTGATGTGTTTGCGATACCTGTTGACTTTACTGGCTTTGTACCCGCCTCCATGTTTTTCATACAGCGTGTTGTCACTGAGTTCCCCCTGAATATCAGCAGACAGACAGTTTGAGTGACAGCAGCTGGGCAGAAACACAAACACTCGTTTCATCCACAACACACACCTTGCTCACCTCCTCTCTTTCCTCAGCGTGCATCCAGATGGGTTTGTTTTCAGCTGGAGATAGACACACAAGTAACATCATTACTCATCATGCTGTGGGACAGTAGGCTCTCTAATACTGCCTCATGATTGGGCCAGATTTCAAAAGGAATGTGACAAGCCAAATATGTCATCTCATAATGTTTGCAGTCATTATGTCTGCAAACATTAATTATTAATTACAAAAAAACAAAAACAAAAAAAATCTAATTAGTTAAAAACTGAAGCTCAGAAATATGCTTTATTGTTTTATTAGATGTGTCTCAGGTTCAGCCCCTGAGCACAAGGGATGTGTGCCTCTGTCCATCTTTGTTACCCTTTAACACTGATCTACTATAGTCTGATTAATACTGTAAGTGCAAAGTAAAATTAAAGTAAATTTAAAGAGAAAAAGAAGAAAAACGTCAAAACTTTCATTTTTATATCTTATTACAGAATTTATAACAAATAAGATGTTTGTTTAATATATAAAAGCTACAGCAGCATCCATTTCAGATCTATCTGAACGCACCACCTCAACATTGTGTGGGCTGCACCCCTGTTTGTACTTTACCTGTTCTATCAAAAAATTAGGAAAATAAAATTGATAGCTCACCGTCCACCAATCCAAACTCCTTCTCATGAGCACTGGTCAGAATCTCTTTGTAAAGAATCTCAGCTTCTTTATATTTGCCTTGTTTGAAAAGGCAGGATGCCTGCAAAGAGACAAGGAATATTTCACTGCTTCATACAATGGAGAGTGAATGGAGTGAATGTGAGCATGGCTGAGGATTTGACAGGTATGAATCTAAGTGTGTGGAGAACAACCAATGGCTGATAAGAGAACATCACATCAACTCCACAGAAACAACACAAGTTTTAGTGGAAATATTAATATATTAATTTCCTCCGTGACAAACTCATTATTTAATGTGGTCTATAGAATCTCACATTGTTTTCCAGCAGATCAAGCGGTTTGACAAACTAACCAGGTTGTTCTTGGTTTCGGCCACATTGGGGTCATCTGGGCCGAGTTTGCATTCATAGATCTTCAGAGCTCTGCGGTAATAACACTCCACCTCCTCATACTTGCCCTGATTCTGACAAACCTGGGCCAGATTATTCAACTGCTTCGCTACATCCGGATGATCATTCCCCAACACCTGAAAGACAGACAGAGAGACAGACAGGTCAATCATGTCCCTTCATTCATGTGGTCTGTGTATAATGACTCTAAACTGTATAACTGTTTGCTAATTTTCTACTTTTGTGTTTCTTGCATCACATTTCATTAGACATGTTAAAATATTTCACACTTAAATCAATAGTCCTGCTCTATGTCAAGGTGTGTGTAGGTTTGTCTGACCCAACCAGACAGAGTTTAGTCACAAATAACAAAAAAACTGTTATGGTACTAAAGTAAAACTGACATGCAGAATTTCACATATGTGACAACAGAACTTTCACTGACATTCTCTCGGATCTCCAGCGCTCGTCTACACAATGGCTCAGCCTCCTTATACTGGCCTCGTTTCCTGTACAGCACAGCCAGATTATTGAGAGTAGCTTCCACCTGAAACACAATGACACACAACATCTTGATGAGATACAGTATGACATTTCACCTTTATGATACATGAGCAAATCCAGCTGACCATTTGAGGTTTGTATTTTAGTGCTCAATAATTCATAAGTAACATTCATCTAATGCTCCAAATTCATTAACCACTAAGACATCTGAGATGCTTTTGAAAGAATTTGCATCCTTTCACCAGCCTTTGCTTTGGGATTTAATAAATGCATATAATTGTAATGAAACACTTTTGAGGTGTGCTAAAGTCTTTCTAATTACAATTATATTTTCTAGCATCTCTTTTGTTGCTATTTTCTACTCATAAAAGATGTTAAATAATTTCCCATCAATTGCTCAAATCAACATTTATTTCACTTACAGCAGGATGGTCTTTTCCAAGTGTCTTTTCTCTGATGGAGAGAACATCATTCAGCAAGCGATGAGCTTCTTTATATTTTTGCTGATCTCTGAAACAGACAAACAGAGATATTTATTCCTATAATTCAGATGCATGATGTTATTGATTCTGCTGTTTCTTAATTCTGAGTGGAAAAGCCACTTTCAACTCCACTTAAACCAAATGTTAAAATCCAGCGGTCTAAAATTCAGACCACTGATTCAACAGACATCGTCAATCCAGAATGTGAAGTTGCATTTCTTCATATCATGACAAACACATGCTCCTCATCCTCACCCAGTGACGCAGGACTTTTTCTCACCTGTACATGAGCGCCAGGATGTTGAGCATGGTGGCCAATTTGGGATGGTCGTGTCCATAGTCTTTCTCCAGCTCCTCCAGAGCCTTTCTGCAGAGCGGCACGGCCACAGCATACCGGCCCTGAGCTGCGTACTCTTTCACCAGGTTATGAAGGGTCCTGCGGCGGGCACTAATCTCATAGTTGCCCTGCTGACCAGCTGCACTATTGTCTTGGAGCGACACTGCAGAGGTCAAAGGTCAGAGGCAGGGTTAGTGTGAAAGGATTGACAACATCTCACATCTGAGGGTTTAACAGTGACATTCACATACTTCCTTTCATTGTATGAATGTGCTCCTCCTCATCATTGGGAAGGAGTTCATTCAATGGGTCCTGGACAGACAGATCTTCTCCAGACTCACTGTTCTGGACGATGTCCTGCATCTTCTTCCAGACTCTGAAGGGCAGGTTGCCCAAGTAACACGGCACATGAATCAAAGCTCCAGAAGGTGTCTGTGGATCCGGCTGTGATGAGATCTGGACTCTGGAAGAACATTCAGGATCAGAACTGCAGTGGCTTTGGATCAGAAGCAGAGAGAGCAGAGACAGCAGCAGATCATTCACCTTTCCATTGAGTCTGGAAACTCCTGCAGAACAAACACACAGTTTATCATCAACAACTCAATTAGTCAATCAATCAATCAATCAATCAATCAATCAATCAATCAATCAATGATCTGAAACCAGACCTTCAGAAAGCAGACGTCACTGGCTTTCATCATCTCCTCCGTGTCTTCGATTGACTGTGAAAGAGCTGAGATGTGTCTGTTGAGCTCCTCCAGCTTCTCCTTCATCATCTGCTTCTTCTGCTCCTCTTCCTCCCTCAGTGCAGTGATTGTAGCTTCTTCTTCATCTCTGAGAAACTGATGAAGCTTCTCAAACTGCTGTTTAATCTGATGCTCTGTGTGATCAGCTTGAGACTGAAATCAAATCACTTTCACTTCAATCATCTAAAAGACGCAATCTATTCTGGAGCAGCATGAAAAGTGAATGACTAAATGTGGGTTAGTTAACTACAACTTTAACTTTACTAACACTGTAGCAGAAGATGTTCAGTGTCTGCAGGTGCAAATAAACATTGTACACAGCAGGGTGCATATATACAAATATACATCACTACTTGATAAAGATAAAGGGTAAATAAAGGTAATTTTTTTTTTCTTGACCATAGATGGCACAAAATCTCAAATCAGCACTTTTGATGAATGGTCTCACTCTTTGTGAGATTTGTGAGATTTAATCAGTCAAAGCTGTTTTGAGATTAATTGATCTAGTTTTGTGCCTCTGGAAAAAAGTGATCTATGGCATTGTATTATGTTGAATATTAAAGGTTTTTACATTAATTTGTTAATGAGGGATCTGTCGACACATCAGCATTTTGTGGAGTAAAAGTTATAGTTTTTCTGTTTTTAAGTAAAAAGATCAAATTAGACCCTTGGGGTAAGATGGAATATTTTCACCAAATTAGCAACATTGCTTTAAACATCTTTTAAACATCTTTTTGCTCATGTTTTCCTCAGGTATAGATGCATATTGTCAGTACAGTTTACAAATATGATTATATATCTACATGCTCTTAAATGATTAGCTGAATGTTGGACAATAAATGTTGGGGCGCTACTAGCCAATATATGATTCCTGCTTGAGCGTAGTCCTGCCAACTAGCAACCAACATCAGAAACTTTGTTTACGCAAATGGTTATATTTCCCCTCGCACTGCCATTATGCAAAATAAACTACTTAATATGAATTAAGTAATTTTTAAAAGTGAGAGGAACACAACGATCCAGTTATAATGGTTGCTGTTGCCCTGAAATCATTTGTATATACAACAGTCATCAATAACTTTCATCTGTTTCCCATAATAGACAGACAATACATTTTAAATGTATATTTCTAAAATGTAATTCCATATACTTTGAGTAAACGGTAACACTTTACAATAAGGTTCATTAGTTAACTACTTTAGTTAACATGAACTAAGCATGAACAATACATCTACAGCATTTATTAATCTTAGCTAATGTTAATTTCAACATTTACTAATGCATTATTAAAATCAAAAGTTGTGCTTGTTAACATTAGTTAATGCTCTGTGAATAAACATGAACTAACAATGAACGATTGTATTTTATTAACTAACATTAACAAAGATTAATAAATTATGTAATAAATGTATTGTTCATTGTTTGTTCATGTTAGTTAATACATTAACTAACATTAACTAATGGAACCTTATTGTAAAGTGTAAACTATGGTGTAAATTACTTTATGTAACTGTGTGATGAAAACTTAAATAATTATATTTGATCTAAAATACATGCATTCAACGTTTCTGTCTTCCAGTCAAAAAAGGTCAAATTTGGAAATGTCAGGAATCAGTGCTCACCTTGATGTGTTCAACTGTTTCTTCAAACTGTCCTTTCATTGGTTCTCCATGTGTAAGTTTCTCTTGTAAGGACTTCAGTGCTGTATTGAGCTCCTCCTGGAATTTAAAATGAAAATCAATATAACACTGGAGATTTATGTAATATAGATGAGCAAAATGGTACTGAGAAGTTTAGCTTTAATCCTCAGAAATAAATCTGACTCACCTTATATGATGACACAACTTCACTGATGGGTCTGAATTTATGATTGTCATGTTGTTGTGAAGTAAAGCACACTAGACACACCGGCTGCTTGTCCTCCAGACAGAAGAGTTTGAGTTTCTCGCTGTGTAAACTGCAGAGCTCCTCAGATCCTGATGAACGGCTCTCTTTTCTCTCCTTCAAGAATGACTCACACAGGTTTTGTAACACAAGATTTAATGGAGGTTCATGTCTTGACAATCTCCTGCAGACAGGACACTCCTGAGTATCCTTGGTTCTCCAGAACTGTTGAAGACACTCTTTACAGACACTGTGACTACATGATAAAACAACAGGATCCTTGAAGATTTCAATACACACGGGACAAGAAAAATCATCTTCCGATAGTGAAGCCATTTTCACTCTTTGAGCTCCAGTGATCTAAACTTTACTTTCACTTTCTGAATGATGTTGCAAAAATGAATAACCACAAGAATCACAAATATCTGCTGTCTGTTTAGAAACAAACTTCTCAAAAATCCTTCTTGAAAGTATTTCTCTTCTTTCTCTACTGATCACTAATTCCTTTATATTTTTATCGACAGTCAGTATGACAGAAAGGAGAAATATTAAGATCTCACTTCCTGGTAAGTGCTGTAAGAGGGTGGAGTTTCTGCTTCTTGATCATACTGCCTTTTTGGGTCTCATGTTTGTTAACTCTCTGTCTGCCTTATTTGACCCTGGATAGTGAATTAAAATATTAAAGAAGATTTGTCATCGGACATCTGATGTTAAAATACTTCAGTACACGGATGCATGACATGTCTTTATGATTATATTTGAAAATCTCTATTTTTGTACCCAGAATAAAGAGAGATCATCCCTCCACCTTGCCAGACATTTCTATAAAGAGCTTCAACCCAAGTGTCAAGAATCCCGACAGAAACCATCTAAAGTGGTGGCATCACAGGATAAACTGAGCTCTGGCTTGATGCTTTACCAACTATATGAGGGTTTTAATTGCAGACTAGAAATATAAAAATATATTTATTTAATAATAAATATATAAATAATATCTGAACAGCAAAGGACTGTTTACAATTCTGAAACATACTCAACATTAAAAGGCCATATTATCAGCTGATTGAAATGTTATTACACACGGGATGAAGGGATGGAAACAAACTGTTCTGGTGCTTCAGTTCTCTATGAATACGCTTAAATACACTTAATACACTGTCCATTTAAAGTTAATGACAGAATTAGGGTATTTTATAACTGTCCACTTGGATTAAACATTGGAAACATGATAATGTTTACTGACTATCGAATGGTAAGATACTAAGATGGGCAAACCACTCACACCAGAAGAATTGCAAGACAGTGTCAGTGAAGGTGGTTGTGAATGTGTGTTAGTTACAGGAACAGAGAATAACACTGTTCCTCTGTCACAGTCCAGATTCACTCTCACACGCTCAAGATCCTGTTCAAACTGTCTGTATTTCACACTCCAGACATCAGTATTAGAGGGGTCATATGATGCGATTTCAATTTGTCCTTTCTCTTTGGAGTGTTACAATCTCTTGGTGCATAAAGAAGATCTGTAAAGTTGCAAAGACTAAAGTCTCAAATCCAAAGAGATATTCTTTATAAAAGTTAAGAGTCAAACACGCCTACCTAAAACGGCTCGTTCTAACACGCCCCCACATGTCTACGTCACGATGGGGGAAGATTTGCATAACACCGCCCAAATGTTCACGCAAAGAAAGAAGGCGTAACTTTTATTCTCGCTGTAGTATTGTTGTTGCCGCCACTGCCATGTCGTGAAGGCGCTGTGTGCTTCGCTGTGAAAGCGAAACTACTTTGGTTGGTCTTCCAAAAGAGGACAATATCCGCTTCGTCATGCCTGGAGCTGATCCGTGCTGGTTGCTGAGGAAATACATCAACTTCGCGCTGTGGATCGCCGGATCGGCTTTCACCGTGGACGAAGCGGAGTCCAGCCCGGAGTCGTCACATGTGGTTGCCGCAAGCCCGCTGGCCGCTCCTTCATCGAATCCGCCGGCCGCACCGTTCTCAAGCCCACCCGCCTCTGCTCACTCAAGCCCGCTGGCCATTCCTCACTCTAGCCCCCGGCCTCTGCTCACTCAAGGCCGCAGTGTGTGACGCTGTGTTTCTTTGTGAAAGCGAAACTACTTTGTTTGGCCTTCCAAAAGAGGACACGACTAGAAATCAGTGGTTAAGATGTATTTACAACACTCTTCCAGAACACTTCAACCCAAATATTCAGATGTGTGCAGCACATTTTATGGAGGACTGTTTCCTGATCCTGGGAGAGTAGACTACAATGGTGGCTGTTCTGACTCACAGACTGTAAGTACATGTTTATATTTAAAGAATTTGCCACTGACGATTCAAACAAGAGTTTTTTGGGCAGTGTAGAGTAGCACTTGTTTCTCCGATCACAAATGCAGACATGGTTTTATGTTTATGCGGCGCGATGCAACGCGTAAAAAGACAGTATAAGTCATTATAATCCGTAATTATGTCCTCATTGGATGACACAAATGCCTCGTTTATAATGGGTTTTATTGTTTTTGTCTTGTCACTCCGGCCTGACGGCATCATCACAATGTGGTAAGGGGCGTAACATTTCCGTCACACGCTTGAGGTATTCGGCCAATCACAACGAACTGGATAGCTGGCTAATCAGAGCACACCTCGCTTTTCAGAACGATGAGCTTTGTAAAAATCGACGCGTTTCACAAAGGCAGGGCAAAGAGGAGAAACAATAATGTACAGTATGTGGAAAATAATGTGTTTTTTGAACCTTAAACCGCATAAACACATTTCATTACACCAAATACACAAAACTAAAACTAAAACCATGCATTAAAAAAAACTCACTAATGCTTATATTATTTAAACAAATGGTTTGTGCCAGGCTCTTACTTGCTGTACTGAAGGTATGACTGGCAGAGCTGTTGGTTCTGGAACAAAAGTTTCTCTTCCTGTTGAGCCAAACAAGCTCGAATTCTCTCCCTCTCCATCTCCAGCTGTTTCTTCTGCAGGAGCAGACATCGTTGTTTCTCCTCCCAGTTCTCCCGACCAGGTGGTGGCGCTAGACCAGTTCGATTAGCACTACACATGCTGTCATTATCCATTCTGTGGCACTGATGAGAGAACTTGGGTTCAGAGACGCCATGCAGCCTTAGGGCATCACAGGCTGAGGGCTCCCTGTTGGAGAAGCGGAGATCAATACATCCACCTTCAGAATTGTGATTGGTGTGCCTGTCATGGATTTCGCAGTTCTGGACGCTGCTGGAGGGTGCACAGAGCGGTCCCATTGAGAAAGAATGAGTGCACTCCACTGACCCGCCTGTCTCAGTTCTGCTTCCTGATGAAGGGAGGTCCAAGTAAGATCCATCTAAAGCAGTTCCTCTTCCACCCCAAGACCTTCTGGGCACCCCCTCACTGCTAAGAATCTGTGGGACAGGGCAGAGGTACAGAAAGTATACACATTAGTGATGCGCGGATGAGCTAAAATGTCACCCGAATCCGCAGCTTCAAATAAATTATCCACCCGCCAACTGTCCGCACTTATATTTTTCTCTGATTTAGATAACCGCACCCCACCCGCACTTGATCGTCACATTCAGGGTTCGTACGGTCATGAAAAACCTGGAAAAGTCATGGAATTTTAAAACAGTAATTTCCAGGCCTGGAAAACTTTTGGAAAAATAAATAAAACCACAACGTTTTGGAAAAGTCATGGAAATCCATTTCACAATTCTCTGTATAATAGAATTATGTTTAATCAGGTCCTGAATTTGGATGCAGGATTGCACATATATCGCATTACTCATTCCCGCAGCGTTCGACTTTAAAATAAGGGAAATTGCTGCAAAACATTTATTCAATATAGCGTGTAGGTTAGATTAGTAAATAAATCCACACAAACTATGAGATCAAATCAGTCATTTAAAAACAGCGTGAGTGATTCAGCTGTACCGCGTCCTCTGTTTTTGACCTTCTCTTCACATCGGTGAATCTAAAGCTGCTGGACGCTGCGATACAAGACTTTAGCTCGTGTTTTGGTACAGTTGACAGTTGTCACTTGCCTAATCAGTCATTGTTGCATCGTCACAAAAATGTATTTTTCACGTCTTTTTAAGCCACCCGCGCGCTCCAGAGGCGATACTCCTCGCGAGTATCCTCATAAGCACTGTCGGTTTTGTCTTAAGTTAATGTAAACAGTTGCGAAAGGAAACGCATGTGTATCAGTATTGGATCCGTGAAATAGGTCTTGTGACAGCAGCAGCCTAATAAAGCTGTGCCATCTGTCATTAATGTTAATCAAACAACAAAAGACAGAGAAAATCCCTCACTGCTCTTGACTAAATGTATTGTTGAATAACTTTAATATTTTAATTTACAGTTTATTCAATTTCTGTAGCCTATTTAAAACACGTTCATATTTTAGAAAATGTAGTTAATATTTGCATCATTAATGATTTATCTTATCCACCCGCAAATAATCAGTATGCATTTTTTTATTACTTAACCCACCCGATTATCCGCAGCGCCCGCGGATATAACCGCCATCCGCGCATCACTAATACACATCACCTCTGACCATTTAATAATGTGGCCACAAAGGCAGGTTTTACTCAAGGGAGTCAGAGGGGTGGGCTCATCCCAAGAGAACGCAACAACCCAAGGTCAATCACCAAAGAGATAAACATTCAGGACAAAGGAGAATTGTCCACCTCTAAGGGAACAGAAATGGGCCGCTGACTAATTCAAGAGGAGGTCATGGAGCATGTAAACATACATTACTCACAGCCAAGGTTTCAGAGAGGACAAGCTCATTTCCCTTATACAAGCTTAAGATGGAGGGTGCACAGTCTAAACTCAAACAACACACCATTTTTTTTTTAGTGTCGGTTAGTGAGTTTTCTTGTTTTGTTTTAGCTTTAATATTTTTAGTGACAGCGCTTTGAAGGGGATGAATTTACAGATGGAACTTCTCTGAGAGGGTTTTAGTGTGCTGACAGGTTAACAGCTATAGATGCTAAGGTGTCAGCATGCCAAAACCCCTCTCTGAGAGGCTGCTTCTCTAAATCCATCCCCGTTAAAAGCATCACCGCTAGAGCCATCAAAACAGCGCTTCTGTAACAAATTCACCTTCAAAACATTTTAAGGCAATTACTGTTGGACTTCAAACCAAAGACAGTATAAGTCATTATAATCCGTAATTATGTCCTCATTGGATGACACAAATGCCTCGTTTATAATGGGTTTTAATGTTTTTGTCTCATAGCTCCGGCCAGACAGGGCATCACAATATGGTAAGGGGCATAACATTTCCGTCACACGCTTGAGGTATTCGGCCAATCACAACGAACTGGATAGCTGGCTAATCAGAGCACACCTCGCTTTTCAGAACGATGAGCTTTGTAAAAATCGACGCGTTTCACAAAGGCAGGGCAAAGAGGAGAAACAATAATGTACAGTATGTGGAAAATAATGTGTTTTTTGAACCTTAAACCGCATAAACACATTTCATTACACCAAATACACAAAATAATGTTATTTTTAGCAGC